TAAGAGAAGGCAGGATTCTGAATAGAGGAATCAAATAAACAAAGGCAAACCAAACCAACTCCCCCACAACCATCTGATAGGTTGCTAGTGATGGAATGTAAAGCGTGTGTGTGTGTGTGTGTGTGTGTGTGTATGTGTGTGTGTTAGAGGCAGAGAGCGAATAACAAATGGCAGAGGTTGACAGGCCAAATCATGGAAGGCCATGCTCATTTTATTAACCTATACAGTGCATAAGGTAGAATTCTAAATTAGGCAAGTAAAAGAATTTAAGATTACAAACGCTTTCTAGAAATCAATAAGAAAATACAAATAACCTATATTAATCAGGGCAGAAACCCAATTTAAATCATTTAAACAAGAAAGGGACTTTATTGGCTCACAAAATTTAAAGTCCAGAGGTAGGGCAGGCTTTAGGCACAGCTGGATCTAGGGCCTCAAGAAAAATGACTTCAGGACTTAGTTGGCTTTCCATTTTGGCTAGCTTCCAAGTTTCGTCTCAGATGGGCTCGCTCTTTCCACATGGTACAAATTCAGGTGCTTGGTTCCTGGGAACTCAGTAAAGCCTTCTTCCAAATAGTTCCAGAAGTTTTCATTCACCTGGCTTGAGTTACATGCCCATTCTTTAATCGCTGTGGCTAGGGAGCCGTGGGACTCAGAATGGCCACACCTGGTTGTGTGCTCACCCTAAAGTGAGGTTTGGAGGAAGATGACACCACCTAAGCCACAGAGGATGGGTTGGTTCCCCACAATAAATAAAGGTTCTGTAAAGATGGGGAAAGAAATGCTGAAGAAACAGAAATAACAGATGCCTACATATAACCCAATATTCATAAAGTAGATAAAAGATATTAACAGTTCATGAGTAAAAATATAAATGGCCAATACACACATGAAAATACCTCAACCTCACCATTAAACAGGGAGATGCAAATTAAAATGATTTCTTGCCTAGCAGATAAAAGCTATCAAGTATGGCTATATGGGGAAATGATCACTTCCCATACTTAGTACAATTTGGAAGGCTAAGGTTGGTCTATCAGAAAACATTACCTTTGACCCAACAATCTCCCATCTAGGACTCCATTCTAAAGAAATATTCACACACATGCACAAATGTATCGGGAAAATATGCTTATTCAGCACTGTAGGAGCAAGAGAAAAAAATGTAGTTAATAGTATTTTCATAGTAGTGAATGGTATTGTAGCCATTAAAGAAATTCCAAGATCTCACGTTTTTGAGACAGAAAAAAAAGCAAGACAGCGAACAAAACATGGAACATGGTCCTACTTTTATGTGAATGTGTATCCTGATGGAAATGAGTGAAAAGAGGGTTAAAAGGACACACACTAACCTGGGAAGTGGAATGTGATTAGAAGTGCTGGAGGAAAGGGTCTCTTTGCTTAGATTTGTGTGTCACTTACAACTTTGTACAGTGAGGTGGTGCTCACTTGTACTTTCATAATGAAAAAGACAAAAACTACCCACAGAAGAAATGTAAATGACCAATAATCATATGAAAAGATGTTTCTCCTCATTAAGAATCAAAGGAAAGGTAAATGAATTTTATCTGTCAGATTAGCAAACACTTTGTAGGATGCACGGCTGGGGGACTAGGCAAACAGGTACTCTTAGCACTGATGGAGCAGTGCATTGGTACAGTATTTCTCAAAATGTAAATGTGCGCGTTCTCAGACCCACTAAATTCATTTCTATCTAGCTATTTTTCCTACAGAAATGTCTACAAAGGTAGCAAAAATATATGTACAGATGTTTCTTACACATTTATCTGTAATAAAAAGTTAGAAAAAACCTCATTATGCATCAATAAGGAGTTATTTAAATAAATTACATTATATTCATGCAATGGAATAGTATGTAGCCATGAAAAAGAATGTTATTAAAGTGGAGTCCTGGTGTGGTGCTGTGGGTAAATGTGCAGGACTGCAAAGTCACTCTTAACTGCTGAAGTTGGCAGTTCAAGCTCACCAGCTGCTCCTCGGAAACCTTATACAGGTTCGCTATGGGTCAGAACTGACTCGGTGGCACTTCACAACAATTATCAAAGTGGGAGGGAAAAGGCAAGTGTCAGTGCAATACACGTGAAATGGGGATAAACATCCGTAGACCTCATATGGTTGCTGTGAGGATCAAGGGTTAGTCCATTGTAAAGCGCTTCGAACAGTGCCTCGACACAGCAGGCACACGTGCCGTATATTAAGACATTCTTGCTAAAATATATATATATGTATATATGCCTAAATCCAGAAAAATAACAAAACTATTACACTTCTGAGGGAGACTGTGAGGTGTACGTCTTCATTATACATTTGTGTACTGTAGAAAATTCAAAGAAGCTTGAATAGCTTTCACATTTGCTAACCATAAACATTAACCAAGTTTAAATGCCATGACTCGTGGCATAATGAAAAAATATGTGCACTTGGAGTTCAGAGGACTAGTTTTGAGGTTTAGCTCTAATTAGCCACATGCAAATTACACAATCTCTGAAACTTGCTTTCCTAATCTACAAATCTAAGTGAGACAGGTATAGTGTCTAACCCAATGCCTGGCATGCAGATTATTTCAATACATGTAATCCTACCTTCAACTCATTATTACTAAATGATCAAGTTTCAGCTGGGTGTGAATGAGTTTAACCAAGAATGCAAGAAAAAAAATGAGCAGCCACCAGCAAACGCTCAGCGGTTACTCAGCAGGTACCAGCAGTCTGCATGCAACCCATAACTCAATGATGGCTTTTTAGCTAATCAGATGTCTTACATGTGGTATGGCAACTACCTTAGGTCAGGAATTCCAAGAATGGTTATTATCTATAAAATGAACATCTGGATGAGCTCATTAATCTGAAATCAATCTAGCTTGTGGGATCTTACCCTGACCTGAGATGGAATACACAAGCACACATACCATCACCTGCCTTTTCCAGGCACTTTGATCCAACTTGTAAAGCCCATCCTTTGCCCGTAGAGCCTGCCTATTACCTCAGCCTTAGAATCACAATCTTTTCTAAACAATGTACAGGTATCAGAGCTGGCAGGGCAAAAGCGTTATTTGCCAACCCTAACACTCTTAAGTTCTCACATTACCAAACATCTTTGGCATTTACGACACACCTATCAAAGGGAAGCTCCTTTGTATAGAAGGAAGAGCTAAAAAAGCATGACATTTTAGCCACTGAGCATTGCTCCCTTCTTACCTACGCTGATACAAGAATCCTATCACCCCAGCAGTATTCCCAATATGCCATCTCAAAACCTACTTGGAAAGAAGCCAGTTATAAATAAATCAATCAACTCAAGATCGTTTTATCTCAGAGCGGAGGAATTTATAGCTTTATTGGACATTGACTTGTTTCCTCGGCCACAAAGAGAAAAGACCCAAACAAAAGGCCCTACATTTTGTATAACTTAAAATACATTAATTATATCATTACTACATATACTTCAATAAATCTGAAATCTATAAAGCACATTTCTTATAATTAATTGTTATCAGAAAATCTATAAAGAAGCTCCACTCTGCATCACATCTCCACCAGCTGGCCTTGCGTTTAGGACTATACTTTTTAACAGGCTCATGCAAATCTCACTGTCTGAATTGGCTTCAAGCACCAGATGTAACCAAAATCTCTGGAACTATATTTGTGTTCGTGTGGGTCGTTTCCCACACAATGATGCCCTCTCTAAAAAAGCCTTTTTTTATACTATTTCAACTTCCAGAGTTTTCTACTAAATAGTACAACCACAGCACTTGAGATTCTCGGCCAAGGAGTATGTAATCCTACCACTACAATGTAATACCTTAATACATTTAAAAAATGTGTTAAAACTGAAAATACAAAGAGTTCAGTCAATTCTGTTAATGAACTAGTTGTTAATAAGCTAGTTGCTTTATTTTTCAAACAGCACAGTCCTTTCAATTTAACACATGCGTACAATCTTAATGTTATTGGAGATTTCATTTTCTTGACTCACAAACTTCCGAAATGTGAGAGTATCTGACTCAGCTCTGAAAACTGCTGAAGAGTTAGCTAGCTCTTAGAGCTGTGACCACGCTTCCCCTCCCTGCCAATACAACCCTGGTAAGAGAACTACGGCTCCAGAACACACAGAGGTGACCTCCCTCCAGGGCTGGTCAGACACAGGCTAAGAAGCTAACTCACATGAAATCATTTTCAACTAAACCCTCAATGATTTACAGTGGAATACTTACCTATTTATGGTAGGAATACAGTACCTAGCACAGTGCTTTGTCGGTAGAAAATGTTTAATAAAACACAAAGCTGACTTTTATCTGCCTGATGCTCACCCCACCCCTTTGTACCAAAGAATAAAAGTAGCAAACACACCTGATACTTGCTGCCCACTTGTCAGAGAATTCTGTCCTAACAAAGACGGAGGCAAAATAATAATGAATTAATAAACATTATTAAGACTCATTTTCTAGCAGCCCACGCACACCAGGACCCTTAGGTATACATTTGCCCTTCAACACTGCTTTTCAATACAAAGTCTTCCTTAACGTTTTAATTTCAACCTCATGTTTTCACTGTTGTTTGGACTGTCTGCTTTCTAGTGATGAATGGGAAAGCATTACTTTCATTAGCAGGATGCCTCCAAATTACATAAAGGATGAGCTTTTGGAGATTTCCTGCAGGAAGATACTGCATTTAGTTAGGTGCACTGATATATTGCATTTTTAGATCAAAGTGTGTATCTTCCCTAATCTTAAGTAATCTCACTTTTTGATGCTTTACCATCACCTCTTAGCAGAAAATTTAAGGCTCATTTAATTTAATCATCTTTTAGCTCTGATTTTCTGAAGTGAATATTCAAATTAGGTAAAGACACAAACGGTAAATTTTGCAAAGATGGTTTTAAACTTCTGTTGTTTTTTCATGTACAAGGGAATATTATCTTTGCAAAGAATATTCCAATGATCAAGACAGAAAGAACCTATCTATCTAAAAGTGAAAAACAATCAGGTAGTTAATTATTTGGAAAAATAATAGAAAGTATAAATATCACATAGAAGAGTTAGGTATTAACACCTGAATTATGTTTAAAATTTCAGTTTCTAGGCAGGTATGACACACTTCGCTCAAGATAAAATAATGGTGAGTCAAAATTTTCTACATTTCCCAGTGGCTTTTCTGATAGTCAGTCAGTAGGGAAACAAACCATCATGTATCATTTCATGGTTTTCATTTTGTCTTCATTTCTGAAGAAAAAGACCTGAGTGCTGACTTTTTTTTTTTTTAATAATTTCTTAAACTTTCACAACATTCAGAAGTTTTTCCGCATTGTGTCTTCTCTGATGTCTAAAAAGATTTGAGCTTTGACTATAGGATTTCCCACACTGAACACATTCATAAGGTTTCTCCCCAGTGTGGATTCTCTGATGATTAATAAGCCCAGAATTCTGGCTAAAGGCTTTCCCACATTCAAGACATTTATAGGGTTTTTCTCCAGTATGAACTCTCTGGTGTTGCACAAGGATGGAACTTCTGCTGAAGGCTTTCCCACACTCAACACATCCATAGGGCTTCTCTCCACTGTGAATTCTTTGATGAAGAATAAGGGCGGAGCCTTGACTGAAGTGTTTTCCACATTCATCACATATATGCTGTTTCTTTCGAGAAGGATTTCTCTTTCTTTCAAACCTGCCCTTGGGGAAACAGCCTTCTCCATATTTAAAAATTTGAGGAACACCTATATTGAGAGTGCCGGGGGCATCATGAGATTCTACTGCGGAAGGAAGCTCCTGCTTTGGAGCGCTAGCTCCGTTTTCAGTCCTAGCATCATCATCTGAAATAAACAGAAAAAGTAAAGATCATTCACTTCCTATTCTGGTAAAAAGAAAGCTGCAGAAAATATTTTTGTAAACCCGTTAGAAGTAAATGTGTTGCACACATCTATAAATAGTACTCTGGAGCATGGTGAGAAGGTTGCCTACTCTAAAAAAGGAACCAAGGAAATAACTGATTATGAGGCTACAAAAATAACAGGCCATAAAATAAGGAAGGATTCAAAGGCTGTACCTCAATAAAAGGCTGTACACTCAATAGGTGAGTGGTCAATATGAGGTAGTCAAGAAATAAAGGGCAGAAGATGACAGATTCTAAGTTGGTTAGGGAGATAATTAAGGTGATGTGGCTAAGTCTGGATGAAACTGGATGAAGAAAAATAAAACTATTTGGAAACTATCACAATACTCTTTTGTTCTGAGCAAAGGAGAATTTACAGCAAAATGCAAAGGCAAAGGTAAACAAATGGGCCTGGCATAGCACTTGTAGGATACGCAATGGACTGCTAACCACAAGGTTGGTGGTTCAAATCTACCAGCCACTCTTTGGAAACCCTACAGGGTGGGTTACTATGAGTCAGAACCAACTCAACGGCACTTAACAAGTAACAACCAATTTGTTAAAAAGTGACTATTTCTGCAATGAATAAGACACAGCAGGTTACAACCAAGATTAGACGAAATGCAAAGCACGTAAGAATCCTGACCAGATGGGCCTGAAGATAACCTGGGGGCATCCTGTGCTAACACTGGGACACTTAAAACCACTTCCTTAAGATATGAAGACAGAAATAAGAACAAGTCCAAGCAACTAGATGAGATCAAAAGGGCAATACCAAACATGAGAAGACGCGATGACAAGGACGAAAGGAAACAAGAGGAACTAGGGAGTGTGCCGACACACATGGGGTTACAACCAGTGTCATGGCGCTGTAGGAGCAGCACTGGACTGAGCAGCACCAGGTCACAATTCAAACTCATAAGCTGCTCCTTGAAAACCTTATACAGGGTTGCTATGAGTAGGCAGAACAGACTTGACAGTATTTAACAACAATTGATTGGAAAACTAATTTGCTATGTATTTTGTTGTTGTTTAGTGCTGTTGAGTCGGTTCCGGCCCACAGCGACCCTGTATAGGGTTTCCAAGGAGCAGCTAGTGAGCTTGAACTGACAACCTTGCAGCTGGAACTAACACTGCAGTACAGTGTGCTAACCCACAGCACACCAGAACTTATAACAATGTTTTTCTTAAAAAAGTCTCATTAACATACTGAAATGTCAAGTTTTTAAAAGTTTATGAAGGGTAAAGCAGTAGCAGTCAGCAAATGAGCAAGTCTATAACAAATGACTAACGGAAAGATAAAACCTCGTCAGGAAAGAAGGATGACAAAGATAGACTGAACAGAGGGGTTAGTGAGGCCTAGAAACGGGGCACGTGACACTCAGAAGCAGAAGCTCCAGGCATGAAAGACTATCGCTACTGTTGCTAAGTGTCTTCGAACTGGTTCTGACTAATAGCGACCTGTACCGACTCGACGGCACTTAACAACAACAACAAATACAGTTTCTGAAGGTGACTGGTGGATTTGAACTGCTGACCTAGCAATTACTAGTCCAGGCCTTATTCTTCAGTGCCACACCAGAGCTCTTGAGAGACTGTTGTTGTTGTTGTTGTTAAGTGCCTTCAAGTTGGGTTCTGACCCATTGTTGTTGTTGTTAAGTGCCGTCGAGTCGGTTCCGACCCATAGCGACCCTGTACAGGGTTTCCGAGGGTGTAAATTCTTACGGGAGTAGAAAGCCTCATCTTTCTCCCGCGGAGCAGCTGGTAGTTTCGAACCGCTGACCTTAAGGTTCGCAGCCCGATTCGTAACCACTACACTACCAGAACTCGACACTATATAGGGTTTCCTAGGAGCAGCTGGTGAGCTTGAACTGCCAACCTTAAGAAGGTTATTTAAAAATATGTGAAAATTCTTCTAAAATTAAGGCAGGGGAGACAATTTATACCTAAGAAAATGCCACTTTCAAACATTAAAAATAATGGTTCTCTAACTTTATTGGACAGAACAATGTCCCATGGGATACATAAAATTGCAGGATTCAGCCTCATTCCAAAGTTCTGATTTATCAAAACTGTCCACTCAGGTGGGGAGAAAAAATGAGGTCTCACTCTGTGGCATATCAGCTTATCTCTAACTATCTCAAAGAACAATTCCCCCACAAAACTTCATTTAAATTAATGTCAATTAGAAAAAGAGACCCAGCAGTTGGAGGAAGATACTGGGTTGTGCCAAAACAGACAAGTATTCAGTGTTGCTTTTGAATACATTGGGAAAGACAATTATGAGGGGATTTCAGAAAGTTCGTGGAAAAATTTCTTTATCTTTCATTCTATTTTTCCATGAACTTATTGAAGTCGCCTCATATCAGTTTTGTAGGATAAGCACTGGACTGCTAATCACAGGTCAGTGGTTCAAACTCACTAGTCATTCTTTGGAACTGCTGAGCCAGACCAGACTCTATGACACTTCATAACAAAAAAAAGCATCTTGTAGCTAAGGGAGCTAACTTCTGCACGAACACTTTTTACCTGAAGATCATTTCCATAAAAGAAACTTAGTAAAATAGCTTTAGGTAGAATGTTGAAAAAAAAAAATAGATCTAGCTAAAAATTTAGAAAGACTTTAGTTATACCTAAAGACAAAGAGTAGGTGAGGTCAAGCTTTCGATTAAGTGGAAAACTGACAGTTATTGTTGTTAAGTGCCGTCGAGTTGGTTCCGACCCATAGCGACCCTGTATAGGGTTTCCGAGGAGCAGCTGGTGAGCTTGAACTGCCGACCTTGCAGTTCAAACGGCTTTGCAGTCTGGTGCATTAGAGGGTATAAAACAGACAGCAAATAAGCAATGCTGTTGTTAGGTGCTGTCCACTTGGCCCCTATGACAGAAGACAACTGCCCCACACTGATTTCCTGGCTGCCATCTTTATAGAAGCAGATCACCAAGTCTTTGTCCTACAGAGTCACTGGGGTAGGTTCACACAGACAAGTTTTTGATTTGTAATCAAGTGCTGAATCACTGTGCCACCAGGGCTCCCAAATAAGCAATGCTGCTGCTGTTAAGTGTTGACAAGTTGGTTCTAACCTAGAGTGACCCTGTGTAGGGTTTCTGAGAGCAGCTGGTGGGCTTGAACTGCCAATCTTGCAGTTCAAACTGACTTTGCAGTCCAGCGCATTAATCCACAGCGCTACACCAGGATTCCAAAATAGGCAATACTGAACGCAAAATAGAGAACTTGATCTATATAGTGGCCCAGGGTACAGCAAATGTCAGTCTAGAAAGGACAGGTCTTCAAGAAAGAAATTGAAAGGAAAACAGAAACTGATGATGTTAATGTCTGGGAATAAAGATCAGAGGCTAGCAAATCAACAGTTAAGAGAAAAAAAAAAAAAAAAAAAGAGATCCCATAGTGAGTGTGCAAGGAATCAACCTAACAGTGATACCCCTCCCTTACAGGGAAAACAAGCAGAGTTCTAGACAAAACTGAAGACGACAGCCCAGGCCCACACGCTCGTGTTTTAGCCCAGTGCCAAGTTCCAGTTCTCACCACAGTGCCTTAGGGAATGGAGCTCCCAGGATGCCCACTTGAGCTGGTTCTCCACAGCATCCAACTCAGAACTTGGTAATCCCTGAGCTTCTCCTTGAGAGACAATCTCCTCGACTAGTACTTCCCGTTTTCGACGACGAAGAGAAACCTGGAAGCAGTAAGATTTGGTTCAGTTGGGAAGGAATTTTCATAAGAATCAGCACTAAAATATATGCAAAACATACACAGGTAGTCCTTAACGTATGACAGGGTTCCATTTCAACAACTCCATCATCCGTCGGTCCTCTCCCTTTTTTGAAGTTTTCATTATTATTACCTTTTATTATTGCTATTATTATAAACCTGATCTTTGTCTTTGGGGACTGGAAACATCATAAACTTACATGATGTTGTTGTTAGTAAATGCTGTTGAATCAGTTCTGACTCATAGTGACCCTGTAAAGGGTTCCAAGGAGCAGTTGGTGAATTTGAACTGCCAAGCTTACGGTTAGCAGTTCAGTGCTTATTATACAGCACCATACCAAGACTCCTAACTTTACATGTGGCATCAGCAAATTATGCACTGCAACTTCATATGTATTAGGAATTACTAATCAGTAATACAGAGTCCTGGTGTGGCGCTTTAGGATAAGCAAAGGCCTGCTAACAACAAGGCTAGCAGTTCAAACCCAATCGTTGTTCCTTGGAAACCCTATACAGGGTCACTGAGTCAGAACTGACTCAGCAATGCTAAGACATACAAAACAAGTAACAACAAATGAGGGTTATACACCTGGCCCAACCCGAGTTAAGTCCTAAATTGGGGATTCTGATACTGCAGAAGTCTAGATGACAAAGCAGATCAGATACTGGGGAGCAAAAGCGGAACAGGCATATACAGAATTCCAACTTAGCTGAGCCCACTAGTGTGCCAGTATTTACGACCAGGAGGGTGATAAGCAGGCTCACCGGCTGTCCAGGGTCATCAAGCTCACTCTCCAAATCCTCCAGCACCGTCACTGCCTCCTCTCCATTTTCTGGATGATGCTCTCGAACCCAAGTCTGGAGTTCCTTGGGTAGGATGGCTACAAACTGCTCCAGCACTACGAGCTCCAAGATTTGTTCTTTTGTGTGTGTCTCTGGCCTGAGCCACAGACGACAAAGTTCTCGGAGCTGGCTCACAGCTTCACGGGGCCCAGGTGAATCCTGGTATCCAAACTGCCGGAATCGCTGTCGGAAAACCTCTGGATCAGGAAGATGGTTCCAGGGAATACTAGATCCCTCTTCCCCATCGGGATCCTCCTCTAACTTCACTCTCAGAATTTTTTCTTCTTCATCTGGAGGTGGGATGATAAGTATGGAATCTTCTTCCACTGCCTGTGCAGACATCCTGAATCACAACACTTCAATACAGGCCAATCAAGGCAGGACACAGGACTCAGGAAAACTCCCCGTTTTTTTTCCACCGGCACCCCTGAAGTACAAAAGACCAAACAAACAAAACTACAATTATACACATGACCAAATAATCGGTTCAGAAGGTGTGCAGAAGCTACTTACAAAAGATGTCAGTAAAATATACTTTTCTCTTACTGGATTAAAAATTCCAATCAGTAATTTATAACAGAAGTCAAGAAACTACAGATTGCTACCTAATAAAGCCTGCCAGCTTCTATACATTTGGTGCGAAGTAGACTTTTCTCATTTTCAAGTGGCTGAAAACATCAAGGAATATTTCTGAACATGTGAAAATTATATGAACTTAAAATTCCTATGTCCAAAAACAAAGTTTTATTGAAATTCATCATATTCATTTGTTCTCATTTCATACTGCATAGGGGAAATTGTGACAGATACTATACGACCTGAAAAAAAAAAAAAAAAAAGAAAGTTTGCCAGCCTATGCTTTATAAAATTAACAAACTCTATTTTAGTAATAATTTAAAAAAACAAACCAGAGCAGCAGCAGCTGCAGCCCAGACCTAGGCTGTCTAAACACATTTGGCCTGTTTTCTTTCCTGTTGCCATTGAATCAATTCTGACTCACGGTGAGCCTTCACCTTTCAGAGTCAAACTGCTCCATGGGGTTTTCTTGGCTGTAACTTTGCAGAAACAGCTGCCAGGATTTCTTCTGTGGCACTGCTGAATTGGTTCTAACTGCCAATGGTGCCCCCCCACCTCATGGCCTTGAATTTGCCCCTGATGCTTCACTTGCTGTTGAGATGGAACACCATGTGCTCAGAGTAGAACTGCTGCACAGGGTTTTCAAATTTGTGTGACCTTGTGTCCCAAAGCACCTTGCGGTGGGTTCAAATGGTCAACTTGTTAGTGAGTGGTTGAGTACCACCCAACTCTCACATTTGACTCTAGTACCATGGATTTTCAATTAAGGACTGGTGAACACATTTAGTTCAACTCAAAAGGAGTGACTACTTTTTTTAATTGGTTAAAGAATAATTTTTTACACACATTTTTTAAAAGTTAAAGTCACACACCAGGTGCCATACAATATAAATATCCTGTCACTTCTTGTTGTTAAGTGCCATCGAGTTGATTCCGACCCATAGCGACCCTGTATTGGGTTTCCAAGGAGCAGCTGGTGAGCTTGAACCACTGACCTTGCAGCTGAAATGACTTGCAGTCTGATGCATAAGCCACACCAGGCTAGCACAACATAAATACATTTAAATGTAAGACAGGCATAAAACAAAAAACAAAATTAACTCCCCTGGCGCGCCGGGAGCTGCGGGCGTTGGTGCAGACATGGCCAAGTCCAAGAACCATACCACGCACAACCAGTCCTGAAAATGGCACAGAAATGGTATCAAGAAACCCCGATCACAATGATATGAGTCTCTCAAGGGGGTGGTCCCGAAGTTTCTGAGGAACATGCGCTTTGCCAAGAAGCACAACAAGAAGGGCCTGAAGAAAATGCAGGCCAACCACGCCAAAGCCATGATGCATGTGCCAAGGCTATCATAACGCCCAAGGAGGTCAGACCTAAGATCCCAACTGGTATCAACCGCAAGCTCAGTCGACTGGCCTACAACGTCCATCCCAAGCAGGGGAAGCATGCTCGGGCATGCACTGCCAAGGCTCTGAGGCTCTGTTGGCCAAAGTCCAAGGCCAGTGCTCAAACTAAGGCTGAAGCTTCAACCAAGGTCTCAACTAAAGCTCCAGCCAAGGCTTCAACTCCAGCCCCAGCCAAGGCCTCACCTCAGGCTCCCAAAGGTGCCCAGGCCCCCACAAAGATGGAATACACTTCTCCATCTGAGGACAGAGGGATTGGCATGACCCTGTGGGCTACCACCTGTATGGAGCTGGTGTCCTCCTGTGCTATTTGTACAAATAAACCTGAGGCAGGAAAAAAGCAAACAAAAACAAAATGAAAAAATGCTCTATCACTGTTAATTCTGAATCATGGTGACCCTATAGGGTTGAATAGGGTTTCCCAGGCTCTAAATTTTTACGGAAACAGATGATTATATCTTACTCTCCAGAAATAGCTGATGGGTTCAAACTGCTGACCTTTTCCGTAGCAGCTGGGCACAACTAGGGCTCCTTGCATTAAAGCACTGCAAATTCCATGAAGAAACCAAACCAAAACCCACAGTCATTGAAAGGATTCTGACTCATAGCAACACTATATATGGAAGGTTAGAACAGTTCCTTAGGGTTTCGGAAACTGTAAATCTCTAAGGAAAACAGCCAGCCTCACCTTTCTTTTGCAAAGCAGCTGGTGGGTTTGACCCCAACACTTAACCCATTACACTACCAGGACTCCTTCTACAAAGAAAAAGTATTCTTATATGGTGTGACTCTGTAGGATGAGCACTGGTCTATTAATATTAACCACAAGGTCAGTGGTTCAAACCCACCAGCTCCTTGGTAACTCTATCCAGGGTCCCTATGAGTTGGAACCAACTCAGCACCACTAAACAATGTTGTTGTTGTTAAGTGCCGTTGAGTCGGTTCCAACCCATAAGGGCCCTATACAGGGTTTCCAAGGCTGTAAATCCTTACAGGAACAGAAAGCCTCATCTTTCTCCCACGGAACTGCTAACTTGAAGGTTTGCAGCCTGATTCGTAACCACTACGCACCAGACCTAAATTTTTGCAGTGGCCCAGAATCCTGTTCTTAAACTGGATGACTCAGTTTACCTAGTTTCTACCTTCAGAAAAGCCTTGGACTATTCCTGATCCTTTGTGCTTAGTATTTGCAGTCGCATCTGTGGCATTGCATACAACACAAATAAGGAGTAAGTCACGTAGCTACTCTGTGAATTTAAGGCCAGAAACAGAAAATCAGTAACTTTAAAAAACTCTTAGTAATCCTATTAAGATGAAAGTTAAATCTCAGAAAAGCCCACCTCAGGAATACATACTAGTTTAATTAATTACTCTGGAGTGGTGCCTTGTAAAGTCAGTTCAGCCAACATAATCATTCTTTTTTATTGAACGAATCTACTTTATCAATAACCCAAACGTCTGTAGACAAAAAAGTTATCTTCCTTTAGATTCTCACATGGCACCGTGCTCATGGTACGTGTAAGGTACAAGGTAGGCAGGCCCACTATCTGACTATTTTGGGTGGGGAGCATCGTGCCAGGTGACCGCCCCACGTCATCCAAGCATACTGCGCTACGAATCCCGCCCCCTTCCCGGCGGCCTCCGGTCCCTCTTCATGGCACTTGCGGTATTTGATTGCTAGAGGCCAAAGGCTACCCTGAGACAAGTCTGAGCCGCGGTACTTCCGTCCGAGATCAGAGAGACTACAAATCCCGGCAATCCTCGCGCCACACCCGCCCTCTCCCACCTCCGCCAGAAACGAGTCCCAGAACCCTCCGCGATCTGCCAGCGCCTCGAATTAGAACAAAACCGGCCAGTGGGGGAGGGGGAGGACGGAGATCGCTGGGGACACAAGGGATGAGCGAGGACGCACTTCTGATAGCGAGGATGTGAGCCTTCCGTCTTCCCTTCCTGTACCCCAGCTGCTGGCGCAGAGAACGCGACCTGTTCCCTACGCCTCCCTGGCAGTCAAGGAAGATCACCACCCGGCTTCTTCACCCGCTCCTTCCAAGCGGCCCGCAGCGTCAAGCCCAGCGCCCCCTTCATATACCCTTCCCCCGTTCGGGCGCAAACCTCCGGCTCAGGAACCGCAGCGGCTTCGCTGTCCACGGCAGACGCAGAAACGCCGCTCAACAAGCCCTTCCCAGAAGCCTCCGGCGCGGACTGCTTCCGGTCTGCTGGCCCGAGGGGGCGGGGAGAGGCGAAGCTCCTCGTTGCTATGGGGACGCGCTCCGGGAGGGGGAGGGGCGGCCCGACGACAATGACCACATTGAGCCGGCTTTTGGCCTGAAGCCTGTCTCAGCGGACAGGCCCTAGTTCTGTGTACCGTTTAAAAGAAAAGAAAGAACTTTGCCATTCAGATGGTCTTTACAGTTTAACAAGCCTTTTCGCATTCTTTATCACATGTGACTCTTAACAGTAATGCTCTGAGAGAAGTAATAATATTTATGAGGGCTTACTACAGTGTACCAGGCACTACTCTTCGTACTTTACTTGCATTCAGTCGCTTAATTGTTACAAAAACCTTATAACGTTTGTGGTTGTAAAGTGCCTTCGAACCTGTTCTGACCCATACAGACCCTGTATGAGCTTGAACTGCCAACCTTGCGGCTCTAACTGATCTTGCTGTCCAGCACATTAATTCAGAACACCATATCAGGACTCCTTAATCCTGTAACATAGGGACTTTTATCATCTCCATTTCACAGGTGAGCTAACTGAGGAATAAGTAAACAATGTGCCAACCGCTTTCAGAGAGTAGAAAGCAAGTTTTGAAACCAAGTTTCCATCTTTTGGTTCCTAACAGAACTTTATGATGGACAATTTATCATCCAGGTCAATAAGCTGAGACAGGTCAGGAGTTTTGATCAAAGATTTCACATGAATTTGCAGAATGCAAATTTTGGACTTCAGGCTTAGCTCCAGATTTTGTATCTCACACACACAGACACAAAAACCCAGCTTCAGATTACACCCTTACATTTGTAATGGCCTCCAGTGGGTCTCCACTACCTGAAATATGTCATAAATACTCCTGTGGTCTGTCCCCTGCCTGGCTGCTCTGTTCTCAGCTCGTAGGCTCATTGTGACACAGGAGCTTCAGGCCCACTACCTTTGATAGCACTGGTAGCGTGACCTGGCTTATTTATTTACCTAATTTTTTGTTTTTTCAATAAATCCTATAAGGACAGGGATCTTGTCTTATTCACCCACAGTATCCCCACCTGGTCCCAGAATGCTGACTCCCTGGTACAAACTCTGTAAATATTTATTCAATTAATGAATTCAGGGCTGGCTACATTGCTGCCCCTGCTAAGTCACATGTCAGGCATCAGACTCCACACAAAAGGAGCCTTGTTGCTGTTTGAAATCTCTGTTAGAAGTGTTGGTTCAGCCTTTCAGGATCATTTTGAGATCCCCAGGACTCAGTTTTTTACCTCATTCAGAATGTCCCCTTTGCAAAGTGCCATCTTCCTCTGCGGGATCAAATGATGGTATAGCATTACTTTTCACTCTGAGCAAAACTCCGTCTCCCCACATCATTGTTGCTAGGTGTGACAGAATAGAATTACCCCATAGGATTTTCTAGGCTGGCGATGGGATGGGCCACAAGGTTGGTGGTTCAAACTCATCAGGTGCTCTAATGAAGAAAGATGAAGCTACTGCTCCTTTAAAGATTTAGTCGCTAACCTCCCTCTAAGACTGAAACTCAAAGAGAACACACGAGCAGGCATGTAAGCTTGCTAGCAACCACATTGGTTTACTGGTGAGTGGAAGAGGGGGAAAGGCAGCAATAAAGAAATGTGCTGAGTTCAACTATGTTCCATAGACTCCCGTTGACCTGGAGATAAAAGAGAGAAGTGGAAGGGCTGGTTGGTCAAAAGTGTGGTGAGACCTGTGGACACCTGAGACCATGGACAAGGACATAGCCACAGAGAGCTAGAGTTGAGAGTGAAGCATCCAACTGATATGAAGTGAGGAGAGATGCACAAGAACACCCAAACTTGTAGATAGTACCCATTTGGCCTAGCCTGGATGGCATGATAATCAGAACTTGCCTAGAGGAAGATAAAAAAGAAAACAATTTTTGATAAAGGAAATGAGGGTAAATTGCTACAATTTGATGAACTTGACCTACACTCATGGAGGTGGTAACTCAAAATACCAACAGAGAGGGAAAGAGTCTTCATATCAAGTATCAATGCTATCCCTCTGTATACAGGGTAGATAGGGACAGGCAACTTAGACACCTAAAATGGGGAGGGGGGGCGATAAAGGCATGAAAAGTCTGGCTTACAAGATTTCAAGAGGGAGTTTAGTTTAAGTGTGTGTGGGAAGACAGAGAGTCCCCACTGAATAGTTTTCATCTTGTCTAGATGGTCTGCTAAAAAGAGATCGGAATAAGATTCTTATGATTCAGTAGGGAGTAATTGTGATTATAACTAATTGTGACTGTCACAATTGTAAAAAAAAATGGGGTGTAGTTAATGTTACAGTCTAGAAACAGGACCCTGGGACCATCAAGGGAGAAGAGAACAAGAGGAATGCGGGAACTTATCCAGAGAAACAGCGACACCAGAGATGGAGGCAGAGATGGGGACATGGAGAAAGGGAGCAGCTGAGGACTCTAGATTCATGGAAAGAGAGGGACTGAAAGCTGGCAGCCAGGAGATAGACTTTCAGAATGTGCCCTTTGGTGGTATATTATATATGCCTGAGTGTTTTGTTTTAAAAAAAAACTAAAATAAATAGAGAGAAATACTGTTAACTGATGGTACATGGAGGGATTAGAATCATTGAAATGAAACAAAGTTTATTATTTGTTGAATGTAAAATTGATGATCTGCCCTGTAAACGTTCACCCAATTCACAATAAAAAAATAAATAAATTTTAAAGTCACAGCCACACTATGTAAGTTGCTATGAGTTAGAATCAACTGGCAATGGGTTTGGATTGGTTATAGCTTCATCTTTATAGGAACAGATTCCAGCTCCTTTGCTCACAGAGCTTCTGGGTGGCTCTGAATTGCCAACTGTTGGGTCACCATCTTCTGATACCTCTTCCTTCTTTGTAGGAGACTTCCCAATCCAGTCTGTTCATTCTCCTACTTAGCTACTGCCACCAACCAACTTGGTTGCTCTTCCCAATTTCTCTTTTGTGACTACTAAAGGCTTGATTATATCTTATATATATCTTGATTATATCAGGAT